ACAGACTGTAAGCTAAGCACCCAGGCTTATAACTGTTACCCTCTTTGGCACTGTTTTCAACTTCTGCTTAGGACAGACAACTGTAGAAGATGTTGCACTGTTGTTACATCAAAAGCCAAGTCTTGCAATAACGAAATTTTCCCAATGTAGATATTATTCAGTTCTGATGTCCAAGTCAGCAAAGGAAGAAACTGTCAGTGTTACTGTGGCTTGTAGGTTCATGCCCTGTTTGAGAAAGAATATAACTTGTGTGGATGCTACCATATCTGACATGTCAGTCTGGTTACAACCTTTTTCACTATATTTCCAGTAGTTTTGAAGGCATCTATAACTTTTAAGTGCACAGCTGATGATTTATGAAACACATGTACTTGTCAAAAGTACTCTGCTATCTTGAAACTTCCCATTGAAGTCACAGGTAAAGCTTCTTGTGGGAGAAGAAGGCTCATGCTAAGTGATTTGAAAATTCTATGACCTTAGGCACGTGATGTCCAAAAGAATAGCAGTGAACATGAAAAAACAAGACTCTACTAATGACAAGAATTAATTCTTGGATATTTTGTGGTTTTGTTCACATTTCTTTTGATATCTTGCAACATAAAAATTTATTCTAGTAGCTACTTTCACAGTACAAATGTACATGCAAAGAAAAAAATCTCTTTTCAGGATCAGTCTCTTCTCTGACTGCCTAAAGTGAAAATGAGATGTTAGTTAAGCATATATGAATACATTTATTATATGACTAAATAAAAAATAAATTGTAGGCAGAATTTTTAAAGACACAGCCATTTAGCAGACCATGGGAAGGGAGCAAGAGTAAGCAACAGATAGAGCGGAAAGAAGTTCGATGAACTAACCTTGCTGTCTGTTCTGTGAAATTGTTTTTAATTGCTTCATAACTTGGCTTTCTCTGCAGCTGTGCTATTATATTTGAACTCCTTCATTCTAAAATTCTGTGGCATGTACATCAGAAACTGAAAGTCTTTAGCTTTGGAGTTACATTTGCTACACTGATACAAGTGAACAATGCTATGTCATTACTGAAGTAAAAGTAATTGAGAGTTCTCAGAAGGCTCTTTAGCATTCTGCCTAAATACTGCTGAATCTTAGATAGTCCTTTTTTATTTTACTTAGTAATCGTTGTTCAGAGATTTTAGAGCATTACTCATATGAATGTGCTTTAGAAGTTGTATTATTATTGCTATTATGTGTCGTTATTATCTTTGTCATTAAAAGCAACAGTATCTATATCCTCCAAATAATTATCAGTGACCAATCCAACAAGTGATAAATCCAGTCCTTCATATTTGATTTATATTTGCACGCTATTACAAGATAAACCTGATCTCTATTTATGTCTTGGCTACTGAGTAAAGTGGTGTTTGTAAAGAAAGGAATATAAAAAATGGGAAAGACTTGTATTGTGATGGCTATGATTTGGAGTTTCTTGAAAAATGAAGCAGTTTCTGTTGTATTCTGAAGTCAAACGATGAAATTCACAGAATAAAAACATGCGTCATATTCTGAGTCTCTTGAAATGCAACATATGACTAAAGTATCTGTTTGAGTCAAGAACTAGTCAAGACTAGTCAAGAACTTATTAAGAAGTTAATTAATTATATGGCAACTGGCAAGGAGTAACACAATGCATGTCAGCTAAGAAGTTGAGTGCAATCCTCTTTTATCAGATTCCAGCCTCTGCTAGGAATCTGGTTCACTCTGGGGGAAAAAAAAAATAAAGCAAAAGCAAAAACACCCCTAACCAACCAACCAACCAACCAACCAACCAACCAACCAACCAACCAACCATAACAAAAAACAACAACAAACCAACCAAACAAAACCAACCCCAAACAAAAAACCCAAAAGGAACAAGAAACAAACAAACAAACAAACAATACCCGACCAAGACCCAACAAAAAAACCCAGACCAAACCAAACAAAAAACGATAACAAAACAAAACAACCCCCAACAAAGCCCAGACCCTTGAAACTCAGCGATACCAACAGCTATCAAGCAGTTTTTGTTGGAAGAGGGTAAAGATCCAGTAAGCAGTTTAGATAATACTTCCAAGTGTAATCCAAGTAGAAAAATGAAATAACTAATTTTCCTTCCATGTCTTAGATCAATGAATGCTGTGAGATACAGAAGAAAATAAATGCAATCTCCATAGGGACTTGAAGAAATTTTATTTTGCCCCAAGACTATTACTTTGTCATGAGACCCTTGCAATGTGTTAAAAATTGTGCCAGTGTAGATGCATGAAGTGATCTAGTGAGGAAGTCAAGGAGTTTTGGTAACATCACTTTATCACATCTTTATTTTCTTTAATAGATACTGTGAGTGTTTAACTACATATGAATGTGCAATAGAGATGCAGGTGAATATATATGTCCATATAGTTTACTGTGGTGTCTGAGTTCACAGTTTGTGCTACTGTTTTGCTTTTCCTCTGCTGTGGCAGGTCGTGATTTGCTCCGTCATGAGGGTTTCTTCAGGCAGTTATATAGTGGTTGCCTGACTTAGGTAATCATAAAATGAATAAGAACTGGTGCACTATGGTAACATGAATAATAATAGCCATATCAGGTTTTTGTTTGGTTGGTGGGTTGGTTGGTTGGTTTTCTGTTTTGTTTTGTTTTGTTTTCCAGATTTTAACCTGCATTATGCAATTTGACAAATAAACAGATACAATGCAGTCTTATTATTTCCCTGTTAAGCTTAGGGCTTGTGCTTCCATACAGCTGTGTCTACGGTCCTATAAGAACAGGGCTAAGAGTGATATTGGATGGATTCTGACTACGCAGCAATGTCAGTAATATCTTCCTAGGAAAGGAGAGCATATTATCACTGATGCATCACTGCTTGCAAGAATAAAGCATTTGAAAATATTTGGTCTTTCTTGTAGTGCAGTCCAAGGCCCAGGGCCCAAGAAAGCTCCACTACTATGTTTCCATGACAGATAGTAATTTTTCTTGTCAGTTCCTGTTGATTTGCATGAAGTTCTGAGTAGGACCCTGTGTGTCAAGATATGACTGTCAGTACTGATTATGACAGTCTTCCTTGTCTTTCCTGTTTCATATCATCTGGGTATTAGGAAGTTATCAGCTCTTTATTTATGGGAATTTTTTCTGCCTCATGCTAAGCCATATATTGTTATGTGAATAAGCACCATGTAAATGGATAGATAATAAACACTCTGCTGAGACTGTTTGCATAGGTATTGCCAAAATGGTCCCAGCCAACAGTTAGTCATTAATTTCTCCTTCTCTTCCTTTTTGTAGGCTGACTTCCTGTAAAACTTTCTGGTTCAGTTACAGATTTTTATTGTTTAGCATATTTTGCTCATATATTCAACATACGGAAATATATTTACAAAAGAATAGGTCCTTGTTGATAATCAGCATGTTACCATATATGAAAAATAAACTTAATCCCTGGCATTGGAGTGTTTGTTTGCCTCTGAGGACTCCTAATTTCTCTGACTTTATTCCACTCAGTGCATGTTGGGGTAGCATCTTTCTTATCCAACCCAAGAGTATCTCACCAGGTTCCACCTGGTCCTTGTCACAGACACTCAGAAACAAATAACAAGGATCACCATAGACACTTGATTTCCATGTCTCTCATGCTCTAGCATTGGATATATTGCTCCTGATTACTCCCAGTCCCACTTGGCCGAAAGTAAAAGCTAGACTGGCTCCTGAATTTGAGACTCTTGTGGTGGAGTAAATAACTAGATTCTGATTCCTATGTATGTTTTTGTGTGAACTGATGGAAAAGCACTTAATAAATCTGGAGTTTTGAATATAGTCACATAATTTCTGAGATTATTCTCTTGATATTGAAATAGACATGCAAGGTTGTTAATTTGTATGCTCTAGAAATGTTCAGTTCAATGTAATAAATGTTCTTCCTGTTTAGTTAGCAGAATTATTGCTTTCAAGAAGACATCAGTTTAGGCTCATACAATTTCAAAAGGGATAGCATTTTTGGGGTAGGGCTATTAAAGCAAATGGTGTTCATGGAGGAGCAAAAGATATGTTTACTTCAGACAGGCACCTAGTTGTTTACATGTGTTTGTGAATTTTGACAAAGTAATTGTGTAACAAGTAAAAATCTGCTGAGGTCATCTGCTTTTACTAGGATTAGACCTGCCTAGATAACACTTTTTGAAGCAGTCAAAAGGGTAGGTGTGCATGAAACACTTATCTTTTCATTTCAGAGCCTCCAAAGCAACTTCATTCTTTCATTTCATAGGTAGCATCCACTGCCAAGCAGAGACATAATACTGTCTTTTTTTAAAATTACTGGAACTGACTCTCATGTCCTTAGCAGGGATGTCATGTTTAGGAAAAAAATGATTCCCTCAAGACTGATTTCTCATTTACTACTTAAAAAAAATATGTCTCAAGGGAGCTTCTAAAGGCATCATCAACTCTCTTTTTCCTTCTAGTCTCATTTGTTTTCATAGAATCATAGAGTCATAGAATTAACTGGGTTGGAAGAGACCTCTGTTTTGGTATTATGAATCCTACAACTCCCTAACGTATCATGTGAGGTTGCTGTAGTACATGCTCTTGCTGCAACTGAGATGTGAAGGAGGGGTTACTTGTTTAGGGATTACTACTGCCCCTTGCTTGGGTGTCCCAGCCATTTCAATGCACACTTTAGATCCAGATTTTCTTGTTTATCTGGCAGTTCATTATTTAAGGCCAGCTTGTCAAAACAGGTTAAATATTCTTTGAGAAACATGGTTACATCTCTGAGACACTAGAAATATGTTTAATACGAAAAGATTGGCTTGATAAAAGAAATATGATAAACTTGCATCCCCTAAAATACTTTTCTGCTGTTCCATTTAGATTTCTGAAAGTATCAGTACACAATGACAAACTTTGTGGCAAGACATTCCTGGAAAAGGCTCAGAGAGACAAAGCAGTGAAAATGATTGCTGATTATTTGTTCTAACTACTTGACCTTGTGACATCTCCCCCAGATATATGACCAAGATGGGACACTGCAGCACTTTATCGATGGTGGAGAACCCAGTAAGTCAAGCTGGATGAGGTATATCCGATGTGCGAGGCACTGTGGAGAGCAGAACTTAACAGTGGTTCAGTACAGGTAAAGTGTTTTCTGATTTACTCAATGATACAAAGTTTTAGTGGAAGGTCAGGCTGTAACTGTCACCAGTCCTTTTACCTTTGATTGCAAAGACAGGAGCAGAAATATGGATATGGTCATTTGGGGCGATAATAAAAAGCTGCAGCATGAAGCCCTTGGGAGCCTGAGGAGCCCTGTGTCACTGTGTGACCACTATGCCAGATCGAGCCCTCTTTTTTGAATGATCTGATCAGAAGCAGGCCAACACCAGCAGTCGTCCACCTTTAATAGAGTTGTTCAACTTCTGTGTTGAACACACCTGCTAGCCAACAGTGCTAGTGCTTGTATCTCTTACGTTGCTGACTGGAGGAAGTCAAAATGCAAAGAAAAATGTAAAGAAATTATGATGTATTTTACTTTGTACTTGCAGACAGACCCAGAGAACCCAGACAACACATTACATAAATACATGATCTCAGCTATAAACAAACCTTTTGCCTCAGAATTAGAAGCAACCGCTTGGCCTTATTAAATGTGGCAGGAAACACATCAAAGAATACCCCAGGTTTGCCAGTTGCAGTGAACAATCCTGATTTTAAAAAACAGAGTTTCTTTTATTTAGGAAGAATCTTAAACTTATTTAAAGTACCTTTAAAATTAAAAATAAAACATACAAAAAGAAATCCAAAATGAAATATATAAAGCTTGATTATACCATAGGGTTCCAATTTAACAATAGTGAAATCGTTCAATTGCATTTTCAGATTTTTTATTCTCTATCCATTTGACTAAATAATACCACAGTTAAAAGAATAACAATCCTATTTATACATTACAAATCTTTTATTACAGACTTAAGTATCTGCTATCTATAGCTAAAATACCATAGGATTTTAAATAAACATACTGGATAATGAATAAAGATTGCTGTGATGAAAGAGTATTTTTGTGGGTATCTTGTGGACTATTTCTCAATGTGGTGATGTGTGAGTGCACATATATACATAAAAATAAGAAAAAAATATATACGTATATATAGACGACAAACCTAAATGAAAAGTGAGCATGAGAAAGTCATTACACATCTGTCAATATTAAGTGGATTTTACAACTCTCCTTTCATGATGGAGTTTTTACTTAGAGTTCCCCCTGTTGATCTGTTTTCTATTACTTCAGATCTTTATAAAATGAACTACAAAAACACAATTTAAAAAACTGGCATCCATCACCAGTGACTGCATCCAAGTGTAAGAAAATAGAAAAGTTGGACACTGAAAAACCAGCCTAATTTTTATTGTACATGGACGTCTTCCTCACAGAAAGTCAGCTGGTTTAAATTCATTCTGTTATGATTTGTAATATCTAAATGGAATTTTCTTCAAAGTGCTCTTGATTGATTGACCCTTAGCTGAACGTTTTGTTTTTATTTTGAGGCTGACAATAATGTTTGTTGGCATGTGTTCTGCTTCAACTGCGTTGGGACGCCATGAAGCTATCTTTATGAGTCATCCAACCACAATACTAAATACATGTCAGCAAAGGAAATATTATCCGAAAAGGGAAAAATCCCTTTGATGTACTTCAGCATGCAGAGATTTCTGCGAGTTTTGGAAGCTCTGCACACTTGTAAGGGACGGTGTACACTTACACATTTTTTTTCCCTGCCTACTCCAAGCCTCACAGACCACCCATTGCTCAAAAACAGTTCTGGTCTTTCAGCGGCAAAGTGTGTCATTTGGTTTTAGCACATTCATTTGCTGGGCTGCTGTGTTTATCTTAAGGGAAGCCAAACTGAGAGATGAAATGTTACAAGGGTGAAGTACAAAGTAGACTCAATTTTTCTCAAGTTAAGAGATGCTGGTAATTTATAGCATGGCTTCAATTTTCATTTTTATGTAACAGTGGAAAAAATTAACTAAATGCGTAGCTCCGGGAAGAAAGAGAGGGAGAAGAAGAGGAGGAGGAGGAGAAGGAGGAGGGAAGGAGAAGGGGAGACACAAAGGGGAGAGTTTTTGTCAGATATTCATAGAAGGCCAAGAAAACCATTCTGCTTAGCTAGCAGTGCCCTCCTGAGACAGGGTGGCAGTAAGCGAGGAAAATAACAAGATAAATGAAATTTTTGCAGCTGCTAGTAAAATATTGAGAATCTGCACTTTTTTATTGATCTTTATGATCCTGTTGCCAAGAGCCACTTTGCGGTGACAAAATATGTTGACAAGTGCATATCTCACTGCCATGAAAAATGTGGTAGAAGATTCTCCTTATGTCTGCAGTGTTATACAAGGAACAAATTGCATTGCTACAGCCAATTCTTTATAGAAGGTCTAAATTTAAGGCCTACCAACCCTAAACACTTTTATCTTGAACTTCAGAATAATGTTTGTAGCAATTCTTCACTCAGAAAACTGGTTGAGGCCTAACAATTTTTTTTTTTTTTTTTCTGGTCTGTAGATGTTTTTCTGCCTTACATAAGCTGTTATAAAAAATGGTCATTTCTTGGTACTTTGACTGTATCATTTTGGTATGTAATCCTTCAGCAAGAGTGGACTGCTCTTCTTGTATATATTGAATTTCTATCCATCTCACAGAAGTGTGTTTTACTGTTCCATGTGAAGCACGAGGGAAAAGCCACTGCAAACTGATAACATTTCTGTTTTATCTTATGCCTGATTCTAATCTTACACAGTTTTTACTACCATGTAAATCTGTTAACTGTAGAAATATTACTCTGAAGCTATTTACATCAGTGCAAGATTAGAATAAGGCTCTTGTTTTTATGCTAAAGACACTAGGATTTTTCCCTTTTTTTCCCCATCTGTTCCCACTTCAATGGTCTAGAAATACCCACAGTCTTTTATCACAGGAACAGTATGATATCACACTTATGGTAACACTAATTTATACTTACTGAAGGATCATTGACGTTGCCCTCACATTCCATATATGGGAAAATTTTATGATTGAATTTTCTGATTAACCCAAATTTTTTATTTCCCCTAAACCAAAGCCTATTTTTCTCAACAATCCAAGATCTCTTTTTTGGTGGTGTATTGCTGTAATGAAAGGTCACTTCACACTACTTCAAACCTCTTGCTGAAAGAACTTATTCACATAAAAGAGCTGTTGTCCATATCTAACTTTAGCATAGATGACAAATGCTAAGCTGTTTAAATGGCTGTATTTGCTGAACTGTGTGCACCACTCTGATGCCTATAATGCATAAAAAAATATACTTTTTCTAAAATCACTTTGAAAAAAATCACTTTGACATCGCAAGAAAATACCTGTATTTTCTTAAAATCTTGGTCCTTCTAAAATCTCACTGATTAACATATGCTTGGTACAAAGTGCCTGTGAGATCTTTTTTAGCCTGTGCAACGGCAATAAAATCCTTCTCTATTACAGATTTGCTTTTAAAATAAACAGTAACTTATTCATTTAGTTATCTGCAGAAATGCTTCCAAAGAAATGAATTTTTACTATAACACTGTGTATGATAACAGAAGAATACTCTATTCCAAAATCAGGTATTTTTTTTTCTTTTTCTCTTGATTAGGTCCAATATATTCTACCGGGCTTGTATAGATATTCCCAGGGGCACTGAGCTGTTGGTGTGGTACAATGATAGTTACACATCTTTCTTTGGAATCCCTCTCCAGTGCATTGCACAAGATGAAAATTGTAAGTTCTTCCTTGTATTTTTACCACGATAAGCCATAATTCCTGTTTCATGCCTGATCAGGTATATTTCTAGAGTGTTTTAGAGGGTGGCCCATCCCTGGAAGTGTTCAAGGCCAGTCTGGATGGGGCTTTGAGCAACCTGGTCTAGTGGGAGGTGCCCCTGCCCTCAGCAAGGGAGTTGATGATCTTTAAGGTCCCTTCCAACCCAGAGCACTGTATGATTCCTTGATTCTCTGATTCTGTGATGTTAAATGAAAGCAGTTGTACATTTAAAGTAAGCTGATACACTTAAGCTGTGCAAAATTATGGTATGAATCACCCTTCCACAGAAGGGATTAACTCCTACTGTATTGTTAATCGATTTGCTTGGTTCTCTCCATTGTTACTAGACTTATCACAAGACACTCTCTTCCCAAAACAGTAATACATTGCAGGCCCAGAGGGCCTCTCTTAGTGATTCTTTGTTCTATTACCACTGAACATGTTGAGAAAAGCTTTGACTGACTAATTGTAGAGTTTAGATCCTTGTAGTTAGATGCAAAAAACTGCTTCTCTAAATACAAGTTGAGTGCAAGTAAACAGAAACAACGAACATTCCATCCTGCCAATCCCCATTTCCAACCATTCTTCTACCTCTTCTCAATATTTTATTTTTTGTTCACAAGGAGCCCTCACAAAACTAATCATACAGTTTATAACACAGACCTGATCTAGTGCTAGACACATTCGTCTGTAATGGGAATGGGTGTTCCAGACACTCTGTTCAGTTTTACTGCTTGTGTGTGGAACTTGATTAGAGCTTGCATCCATTTTGACAGCTGTGTGTGTCTATGTGGTAGAAGAAACCAATAATAGGTGCCTGATTGACTTTGGTCTAAAGTAACCCTGTGACTACCCACTCTTAATCAATTATATATCAGATGTATATTTTTGATCAAGTACTTGGATACTTAAACAGGATGAACTGCAAGGATGAACTGGTGTCTTGTAGCAACTTAAATACTGAACATCCAGCAATAAAACAGCAAGATATCAGAGATTAAACTGTCAAAAATAAACATCTTTCTTCATCTTGAGTTTTCAAATCTCTTGGGCTTGAGAAAAGTTTAAAAGAAATTTAGTTACTGGCAGTAATATTTGCTGATAAAACTCATGCTCTGCGGTGTACAATACAGAAATATTATTTTTTCTTTCATGAGCTGAAGCCTACAAAAACTTTATTTGAAAAGAAAAACATTATGGCTAAAAGCTCTAAATATTACCAGTTGCGATTTTGCTGAGAGAGAAACCAGTTTCATCCCCAGAGACACTAACATGAGTAGATGAAATTAATCTCTGACCATGCAGCCAGCTGCACATGACTTAAGTGCCATTTAAACTCTCAGAGTACACCTTCTGCTTATCTTCTGCTCAGGGGGTATATTCACCTGCACAAACTCTCCTTAGGTCTGATCAGGCACCCTGATCTTATTGCTTCTGTGGACTTTCATGAATACAATTAAAAGAAAAGGAAAAAAAAAATGATCTGCTTCTTGAGAATGTGTTGGGGCAAAATGGAAGTATACAAATTGCTCCCTGTACAGCAGACACATAGAAGATGTATTATATATTTGGAAACTAGTAATAGACAGCCCCACAGATGTAACTCTACTTAGAAATTAGGTTCTCAGATACTTCAAAAAAGAAGAGATTAGGAAGGACCTCAAGTGACATAAACTAAATAGCTTGTCATATTATAAAATTGGAGTCATTATGATTGCTGGAAGAAATTAGAATATAACTCTATGTAACTGGCATGATTTAAGATATTACAAAATCTAAGTAGTTTGTGTCACATTTTCATTGTGTCTTAAATAATGTTGGATAATTCCAGCTCACAATTGAAATTTGATTCTCATATTTTCTCTTAGAGATCTATCATCATGACTAACTGAAACCAAGTTGTAGTTTTTAGTCAACAGTTTAGTACATGCTATGGACCTAGTTATAGCTAGAAACATTTTGTGACAGTAACTAAATAACATAAATGGGCATATATGTATCAAACATATTTAGTTTAAAAATTTACATCAAAATTTTATCTCCTGAGAGTGAGTGGGCCAAAATTAGAAAGCATTAGAAGTTACGTGACCCAGACGGCCTAAATTATGTTTATTTTTGCATTGGGGTACAAGCATTTGCTAGCTGACTACTTTTCCACAGGATCCTTACTTCATTCATTGAATGACCTCCATGGGACTCAAGGATTAAGGCAGCTATTCAACTTTCTTCTACATGCTTAGCCTCTTGCTTTCCTCATCATGCAACATTCAGATTCAGCACTAAATAATTTCTTTGTGCATTTGTTGCTGAAATATCTGAATGCCTCATAAACCATAGTTAATTGATGATCACAAGACTTTCATGGTACTGGAAATGTTTTTTTTACCTATTTCGTGCGTAGGAAATTGATGCACAAAGATATCTCTGCCTGTACTTCGTGTTGTCTCATGATGACCTACCTGCTCTAAATAACATGAGACATGGTGAAGTCACTGGCTTCTTACTGTATTGGCAGTGGGACTATTTGTGACAAGTAATAGTATAATTAGAGGCTGCCCTTTAAAAGGATAAGTATAATAATTTAAAATATCAATAAATTATTATTGTTCATAATTTTTACTGATAAATAATTGAGAAGATGGTAAGTATAATAATTAATATTGCTGCAGTAGATATTTAAACCCTATTGTATTTCAAGGCACGTGCAACCAAGAATTATTTTCCCCATGCTCTCAAAATTCATGCTTGTCCGCAATATAGCAGTCAGACATGCTGACTGCAATATACAGAGTCAGGGTGTCACAAGTGCAGCAACATTTTCTTTCAGATGACAATCCCATTGTGTAATAAATGTATATCACAGTCAGGCTTCTCTCGCTCCTTTCAGTCTCAGACACTCCTTTGCATGAATTTTCATTTCAGTGTCACAGAATCAGAACCAACCTTTCATATTCAAACCTTTTTTTTTTTTTTCCTTTCTGTGCATTATTAAAATAAAATTGTTTAATTGTGGTGTCAAGAAAATGGATGTTGATATTTTTTTTGGTCTCTCTCAAAACTGTGTTAGTATTAAAAAGGCATAAAAATGATCTTATTTACTTTTCTTCTTTTCTCCCAGTGAATGTCCCTTCGACTGTAATGGAGGCCATGTCCAGACAAGACACCCTACAGCCATTTAATAAAAGTAGTAAACTATCCCCTACCACTCCACAGCGATCCATAGTATTTCCGCAGACTCCATGTAGCAGAAATTTTTCTCTCCTGGATAAGTCTGGGTCCATCGAGTCAGGATTTAACCAGATCAGTGTCAAAAACCAACGAGTTCTTGCAAGCCCAACTTCAACAAGCCAACTAAATTCTGAGTTCAGTGACTGGCATCTTTGGAAATGTGGGCAATGCTTTAAGACTTTCACCCAGCGGATCCTCTTACAGATGCATGTGTGCACGCAGAACCCTGACAGGTAAAGCCCAGGCTTTCTTTATTTCTGTATCTACTGATAGCCAGATCCAGTGCTTTCTTCTTTTATCAAGCTGTTATCATTTTCAAAACCAAGCCATTATTACGAGGACTCCATATGACATAATTCATCTGTAGCTCTGTCTTCGAAGTAAGCTGATAAAAGGTATTGCTTGACTTCACTATTTGTAAAAACATTTGGTGCCTAAATGTGCAGATAAAAGGAAATAGCTAAGGATATAATCTTGTTTTCAGAATGGTTTGGTACATCTGATGGAGGCAACAGAACAGAATGAAAATTTATGAATATCATAGATGGAAAAAATGAGGTCAAGATAATTAAAAGTCTCTCTGTCTTCCAAAGATAATCTAACTTGCTGCTCAGTGGCTGTCACAGTCATTTCAGGGTTCACCTATAGTGTGCAATGTGTATGAACTTAATTAAGTACTAAGAGGTAATGAATTGGAATTTTTTGCTTAGTACTATTTTTCTTCATAGCATGCAAACCCATAAATCGTATAAAGCTGTCAAAAGGAAATACCTACTCCACTAGTGATGTGGAGGAAAACAGATGCCACTTATTCAATAAACTAATATCCACACAGAAGAAAAATGTTGACTAGATACCTCAGAGTCAAAGTTGGTTTGAAAGTTTGTCAATACAGAATTTTATGGCTGTGAACTGAGGATGAAATTTAGCTGAACAAGTGAATTAAAATTTCAGGTACTCTGACCGGTGGCACAGTAAATATAATGGAACCATTATTTATGAATCAAAGCTGGTTTATTTGACAATTTTGATACCTGGCAGGACAAAAGACAAAAATCAAATTAATTCAATAAAAAAGGCTGCCTGTGTTTTGTGTCTTCTTCAGCTATGAAGATTTGAACAGAACAGCTAAATCTCCAGAAGGTTGTTCTAAATGTAGCATTTAATTATGAATTACAGTTAACAAAAGTACTACCAAAAATAGCAAAGAGTGAGTCTGTGCATGTGTTTGTATGCATGTCTGTGTCTCTCTGTATATGTGGTTATCTAAGTGTACACATATGCTTATGTGATTCTTGGGTGTGAAGGTACTAGACAATAAATCCATTTTTCTGCAAGAAATGTAAAGCATGGGCAAAGATTCCATTGCAAATCTTCATAAAAATAAAGAATTGATAATACTGTAAATGCATACAAGCCTTTTCAACATTTTCTGAATTTTATGCTGGCCTTAGCAGCAACAAATGCCCTTCTGAGGACTTGGCTAGAGCTGTGGGACACAACTACTAATTTAAGTGTCACAGTGTAGAATATCTGTCTCAAAAGGCATGAACTCTCACGTTTCCAGTGTTACATCCTAAGCATAAAACGGTGCAATCGTCTAGAAGAGTCTAGAGTCTAGAAAAGGAGTGGATGAGGCTTTTCACATATTTTTTCAGTGATTCATACAATTAGGTGTGACACCTAGATTTCATCCTTTCCTTTACTTGAGCCTCTGTCTTCCTTTATGAGGAAAGAAATTGCAGATAATAGTTAATTAAAAAAGAGTCTCACTTAAAGGGACTGTTCTTCATTTTAAGTGCCAACTAAATACTCAATCTGCCAGAGAAAGAAAATGAGGATAATTTTGTCTTACTATTAGATGTTTCATCTTGGAGATGAGAGATCTTGGAGGTGAGAGATTTAATTTTTTGAATGAATTTTATTTATTTTTATTTATTTTCTCCTAAATATCTTGTGTCAAATAGTGTCTGAAACACACACTGCATTTCAGGTCTTCCCTCGTAGAAGGGAACCTTGTCATTAGTAGGGTACAGATTCATGATATCTTACCATTTAGTCTCTCCCGTGCCTTCAAAAGAAAGTGTGAAACATTTTAGTTCAGAATGTCCCAGAGCATAATAGGAACATTATCTTGCTATGTTTAAAGTTACTGTAATTCATGCTATGTTTGAAATTACCAGAATAACAGTTACTGCAGATCATAACTGCCCTAGAACCAGGGATCTCATATCCGTGGCTAAATTGTTACAGGTTGAGTTTACATACAGACAGCTTTTTGTCTTTTAACAGAGATCAATAAATCACTTATTTAGGGATACTACATCTAGAAAAAATTGTCTTAGGTTTCTTAAATATATTCCATTCCTCTAGATGAAAACTTCCTTAAGAATTGCACAAAATTTCCAGGAGACAAGAAAGTAAGGTATGATTTGTAAAAGAATACCTGCTTGCCAGCCTGAAGTACTGGATGCAACTCTCTGGTTTGTATTTTCTCAAGGGTATCTGCAGCACCTCTCCAGCTGATAAACAGCTCCCCATTTATTGTCATCAATTTGTGAGCACACCAGTCGCTGCATGTTTGATGTGACTGAAGCAGCAGGGCCTGTCATCTCTAGGAAGTAACTTTAGACTATCTGTTCTGTTTTGGTATTTGTTCTTCAAAAATGCTGATTACCTACAGCATGAGGTGCAGAGAAAACATCTTTGAATCTATACAGGAATCCAATTCATGGTCTGAAATTTGAGGAAAGCAGATTGCTTGAGAATCCAAATAAAGATATTACAAGTGAGTTTCAGAAAGAATCTGAATGAGAGTAGACATAAAATGAGCCATAATATTCCTAATTCAACTAGGCAGTAAGAAATAAATGGTCCTATTTAACAGGTAGATAATATAATAAATAAAAATAATTTTAAAATATTATTAATCCAAAATAGGGGGAAATATTAAAATCATTTGCTGTGTTCTCTGTTTTAGCTTAAGATTAGGATTTTAATTTAAACCAACTTTAAAATTTTACTGGTTTACTTTTATTTAACTTCTCACTTTCCACATAGATTTTTTTAGCTTGTTATATTTTTTAGGGCTTGTCTTTGAACTTAATGGTAATAGGGGTTGCAGTGGATGTGGGAGGTGGAGATTTAAATCCATCAGGTCTTGAATTCGGGGACTTTCTGAGCCTTTGGGATTTTTTTAAGCCTTGACTAGACAGAAGCACTTTGAGAAACTATTTCTTGAAGACGAAGTCAGAAATCTGTTTTCATGGAGATTTTGTTGTTGTTGTTTTATGTTTTGGTTTGTTTGGTTTTATTTATTTATTTATTTATTTCCTCCCTTCTGCTGCAACAATCCTGTTTGGGGGGTTCAAAAAAGGGGTAATCAAAACTCTTTATCATAGTGAATAATACTTAGAGCAATTGTTTTTTTGTTACTTTTTTAACAGCAACCACTTTTCTGATAATGATGCAATCTTTTTTAACAACACGGCTCTTCCATACTGTGATCACCAGATTCAGAACACACTGGTGTTGAGGGAAGGCAGATGGCTGCAGTTCCCAAGAGCTTTCTGAGGCACATTTTCATTTGTAAAATGTACATCTGTGTGGTATATATTTTTATTGATTGCCATGTATTCAAGCTGATAATTTGAGGGAAAGCCCACTCTCATAGTGTGTTCATGGCTGGTAGATTATGGCTGTGATCTGGCACTCACAATTCTTGTTTACTAAAAAGGTAACACTTATGTTTTGCTGTAGCAACTCAATGTTAAAAGGGTTTTTTGAGGGCTTGTTTATTTCTTTAGTTTTTTGTTTGGTTGGTTGGTTGGTTTTTGTTTGGTTTTTCATGTGGGGGTTTTTGTCTGTTTGTTTGTTTGTTTGTTTGTTTTTAACAGGAACTTGACATTACTGATTTAATAGTCTTTTTCGCTAAGATTGTGGCTCAGTCCATTTTGTGTTTATATTTTTCTTTATAGGTTCTGCGCCTTTGACCTTGGTGTTCTACCGAGAAGTCCAATAATTAATTTGAACATCTCCAAAACAGACTTACAAAAAAATAAATACTGTGAGCAAGCATTGCCTCTCTCTGTTGATTGAGTATTGCTCAATTGAAGTAAACTTTGTGCTAAATTTAATGCTTGTTCTTGCATAATTTTTTCATAAAGGTTTGCAAACTCCCAGTACTCAAAGCTAATAACAATAGTGGGTGTACAGAGCATCAGCTCTCCCTGACAGCTTCACATGTTTGCAAATGCTTCAAGTGCGCCGCCTTTCTGCTTTAGCTAGTTTCTTCACAAACATTTGTAACTGAGCAACAAGAGCTCCCAGCGGGTCCAGCTCTGCCGTCCCTGCTGCTGTTTGGTGCCTGAGGTGCTCGGGAAGCAGCTGTGCTGACTAAGGGGAAAACCAAGACAGCAGGGGATGTGGAGTCTAGGGAAGGTAGCCCACCCATGGCCCCACTGATGCTAGGGATGTTTCTGTGTGCAAGTTGGCAGTATTCTGAGGTGTCACTTTGTTCTCCTGCTGTAGTTCAACTTGCTTGAAGAAGGCATTCCTCAAAAATAGCTTTCTGTGAGAATAACTGTGACCTAACTCTGCTGAGTGCAGCTGTGCTCTTAATGCTGTGTGTTGTACCAAGGCATGGTCTGAAAGCTGGTGTTGGCCTTGTTTCCACATGGCCTGCTTTTGTTTTTTTTGCAGAGGCTGTGGTGTTGTAGCCTTTCCCCTATTACATTGTGAAACCTGTCCCGAGATCAATGGAGTCCTGTGTCCCATGCCTTGAGACGCTGAGATCGATCATCACTCCTAAGCTCAGGAATAATGCTTCCCAGCAGAGGGGAAGTCAGGCAGAACCACCAGAAGTCCTGAATGGATGAACAGGCAGCTATGTGATTAATTCAAAGATAAAAGTGAAGCCCTCAGAGAGGATGGAACCAAAGACAGGTAGTGTTTGAGATATACAGTTGGATTGTCCAAGCAGTCAGCAATCAGTTTAAGAAAGCTGAACCCTTCAGTGTGGGCAGGGACATGAAGAGCAACAAAGGCTTCTGTAGTTACGTTGGTGGTAAAGGCAAGATTAGGAAAAATGTGGGGCCTCTCTGGGATGAAGCAGGAGGCCTGGTGACCTGTGACATGAAGAAGGTTGAGGTAGTCAATAACTTTTTTTGCCTGTCTTCACTGGGAATGATTCCATCACAACACCCATGTCACAGAAGGCAAAGAAAGGGACTGGGAAAATGAAGAACTGACAGCTGTAGAAGGAGATCAGGTTGGAGGCCATCTAAGTAGCTTGAAGGTGCACAACCTTAGAGGACCTGATGAGATGCATGTATGGGTCCTGAGGAACTGGTAGATGAGGTGGCTAAGTCATTACCATGGTAAAGTCACTATCTATCATATTTGAGAGGTTGTGGTAGTCTGGTGAAGTTCTCACCGTCTGGAAAAGGGGAAACATAACCTTCACTGTAAGAAAGGAAGACCTGGAGAACTATAGGCCAGCCAGTCTCACCTTGGTACCTGTCAAAAATGTGGAGCAGATCCTTCAGGCAACTGTATTAAAGGACAGGGAAAATAAGGAGGTGGCTGATGACAGCCACCATCAAGAGCTTCAGTAATAGTCCAACTCTGAAATTTCCAACATAAGAAGAACGTGGATCTGCTGGAGACACTCATGAGAAGAATCCTAAAGATGATCAGAGGGATGAAGACAGGCTGAGAGAGTTCAGTTTTTTCAGCCTGGAGAAGAGAAATGTTCAGGGACACCATATAGCAGCCTTCCAGTACCTATAGGGGCCTGCAAGAAAAAGAGAGAGAGATTTTTTACGAGGGCATGTAATGATGGAAGAAGGGATAATGGATTTAAACTGAAAAAAGGTTAATTTGGATTGGATGTAAGAAAGAAATTCGTTACTTGAGGGTGGTGAAACACTGAAACAGTTTGCCCAGAGAAGCTGTGGATGTCCCATCTTGAGAAGTTATCAAGGCAAGGTTGGATGGGGCTTTCAGTGGAAGGTGTTCCTGCCCATAGCACAGGGGCTGAAACTAGGTGATCTTTAAGGTCTCTTCCAACACAAATCATTCTAGAATCAAGTTGGTTTTTTAGTTCTTAGTCTTAATTCTTAGTCCTCAATAAGGAGAAAAGCACTTTCAACCACATGCCAGTCTCTCTTCTTTCTGCTGGTGCTTTTCCAGCTGTTTCTAAAGGAAAAGAATTACAGTACTGTAAGTAACTCCTTGCTCTGGAAGTGTTTCAATTATAGAGTTACAAGTATTCAGGAACTCACTATTACTTTTGCTAAACAAAAATCTAAAAAGCATCAATCTCAATGTACAGTTGTCTGTCAGTAGCTGTTCCAGGTGCATAGATATGGGTTTTTCTTTTCTTCTCTATTAATACACTTTGTGCGTGTTAAGGGTTTTACATACCCTGCACAAAGCCTGAGCTTTGTTGAGGCTCAGTAAGCCTCACGTGGGAACACACATTTTTTACTGGTCCCATACATGATTCAGTTTCACCCAGAAAAAAAAAATCAGCTACAAATGTGATAAAATTGTAAGATAGGAAAACATATCACTGAGGAGCAAAATCATTCAATCTATTGTCTAGATTAGAGAGTAAAATTTATTCCTTAGTGTTTTCATTTTGTAAATGTGACTTGGAAAACTTGGGAAAGCTCAAAGTACAAATAACTACAAAACCTGAAAACTACTACATTAGAGTTGCTCTCTGAATTTCACTTCAAATGGTCTGTGTTCCTACTGTGGGCCACCATATAGTCAGAGACTGTAGAATTAGAGTCTCTAGAAAAAGCTGGATTCTATCTTTCAGCAAAACTAGATAGCTGATCAGTGATGCAGGGGATTAATGACAACAGTGTAATTCTTTCAACAGCAGAATTTACTTCTAGGTAAGTAGATTTCCTATCTTCAATCTCAAAAGGAAGGTGTTGAGCTAAAAAAATAAGTAGCTAGGTGATTAAAAAAAAACCTTAGAACTGCTTTTGGTGGCTGTCAGAACAACATTCTCATCTGCACATTGCTATATATCAGTTTAGCCCTTCTTAAATGTACCTTAAAATTACTATATGACAAGATTTTGATTCACAGGATACCCTGAAGCTCAGAAGGTGTGATAAGTTCTTGGTTATTTCAGTGGAAATTAGTTTTTCTGAGCTAGGAGTACATTCAGTCTAGCAGCAGATCTTTGAAAGTACAGCCTATGAAGACCAACATTTCTGTCACTGTGTCCCTTCTGTCTGCAAACCTCTGTTACAAAGAGGTCACCATCCTAATTCATTGTCCTGGTGCAGACCAAAGTGATGGCAGAAGACATAACTGCTACATCAAAGGCAGGCATGCTCTGCCCATGTCAATGTACTCACTGAACCGAACACTGCTCATGTTCAGTCCTTCTGCACCACTTTCATTTTTTTTGAAAACAACATATTGATTTTATTTTCTTCCAAGAAAAATTTCTGAGCACAGTAAAAATGGTTACCAGAGAACAAAATGATAACTTTTATACTCACTGAATGACTTTTTTTGCTCTTGGAAAAATAGTAGTATCCAAAAGTTGTCAAAAGTTGGCATACTTAAATATACATTCATACATATTAGAACATTTTTAAACTGTTACAGTATTTGAATGTATTTATCAGCTCTCTTTTTAAAATGAGCTTTCTCTAATATGTGTCATGTATGTAAGCTTTAAAAAAATTACTCATTTTAGTATTAATCAGAATCACCTGTGTATAAACTGAGACAGCATCCCCTACAAAGAGAAGGGTGACTTCTTTAATACTTTTTATCCCAAGATATGGATGAGTGGAAAAAATACAGTCAGAGTGATCTAACAATAGGTGGTTTCTTACGGGGCTTATTTTCTTGAGCATCAGCCAGTGAAATGTATTGAGTACTTTGTAAAGAAGCCATTTATTTTGAGCCAATATAGGGGGTGAACCCATATTGCTTGACATCACAACATTCAGTTACAACTGGTTTGGAATTTTGACTGTTTACAGACAAGTTATAGTGTGAATTTTCACTGCATGAAATTAATCACATTGACTGTTAAAAAAATAAAAGATTAATTGGTTTTATGTAGTCTTTCTTGTGGTAGCTGTTAAAAATAGATAACTGGAGGCTAATAGATGTTAATGGTCCGCTTCACTATTAAAAAAAAAAATCAATGTTTCTTGGATACAGAGAATATTATTGCATTATTTTGCTTATAAGTGTTTGATATGAAAGTATCCAAACAAGTAAATCTGCATTCAAAAAGTCACCTTTGTTTTACCAGCTTTTAAAATTTCATGCCAAATTTGAACAATATTCTCCATGCAAAATAACTTTGCACTTCAAGAAAGGAGAAAATTAGGCATGTTACTATTCGCCTTCCAATAAGAGAAACAGATAATCAGTTTTTATTAATTTTTTAATATATTATTTTACATGTATTTGTATATTTTTAAGGGCCATATTATCTAAGTTACCTTTCCACAGCTATTATATATTACTTTTAAACTTTTTGGAGAGTAGTTAGATTTTCAAATGCAAGTAATTAAAATAGTAAGCTATTGAGTTATTGATGAATACTGAGCTATTAATCAAGCTAAAAAATTCTACAATCAGGGTTCAGTGCTCTGAATCACTGTAAAATAATAGTATTTGTGTTCAGTGATGCAAGTAGCCACAATTAAGCAGTTCACTTGACAAATGAGATAGTTCACTTTATTTTGCACTTAATTGAATTGTACATGCTTGGTCACCATTGTCTCCTTCCCTTTACTTTTGGTTTCTAGCCATTTAAACATACACATTTATTAAAGAAAGAGTTATTAAGTTGAGTTGGCCATTGGCTCTGGAAATGCAGATATTAAGAGTAAAAATGCTGTGCAGGGTAAAAATCATTATTATCCCTCTAGAAAAAAAAAATCTTAATTTTTTTAAAAAAAAGTTGGATAAGCATTTAGGACTCTGCCACAAACTTAAAACAAATGTGAAATGGAAAAAGCCCCTCTGGGATGTTGATATTAAATCACTATTACCAAATAGAAATATATGGACATTGTTTCTTCACATTTTATTTTAGTTCCCATTTCAGCAGACCTGTCTCACATTACTGTCTTGTATCCTTTTCTTTCTGTGTCTGCAGTCTGCTTATTATGATTCCCAATTTGTAACATATCACTTAGTTTTGTTTATTTGTTTGTTTGTTATGTTTGCTTTTAAAAAACTGTGGCATTGAAAACCTAAGTCCTGTGTTTCCTTCCAAGATCCCAAAAAAAGGCATTTTTAATCTGGATGGGAGAAACATGTTAATAAAATGCAAATATTTTTCATAGAAGTAGGAAAATAGAAAGATAGTTGTAACATGGTGGTTACTTTTTCCAATGTCTCTTACTGAAGTGCGTGATCTCAAAATCGACTAGATTCCTCAAAGCAATTTAATTGTTTAATCTACTAGATTCCTCCAAGAGTTTAATTGGAAACAGCTACAGAATACAGGTAGAATGCAGGCGTAACAATGAGATATTTGTAGGTAAGACTATAGCTGAACCACCAGACGGGGTTTCATGAGACCCTTTCTTCCAAAGTGTGAAGATTTTTTTTTATGATTGAGGAGTACCATGCTGATTTTGAGACAATTAAGGCAGGCATCCCATGTGTAGTGCAGGGTCAGTAGCTTGCTGAATTATGTTTTGTGGAGCATGATGTCCCTGGACTCTCACGTGACACTTGTATAAGAATTTTACATTTGTTGAAGAGGTCATGAAGTTCTGGGTATGTTTCTCCCAAGAAGGACCCGGAGAAGTGCACCTGCAGTTCTCTTTGAAAGTTACTGGGAAGATCAAGTGTTCCCTTCCATATCGTTTCCTGAGCATGTCAACAAAAGGCACTGATGACGTGCTGTTTCTTTCTCCCACTGCAGGCCCTACCAGTGTGGTCACTGCTCCCAGTCTTTCTCCCAACCTTCAGAGCTGAGGAACCACGTAGTTACGCACTCCAGCGACAGGCCTTTCAAGTGTGGCTACTGCGGTCGTGCCTTTGCTGGTGCCACAACACTCAACAATCACATCCGGACACACACTGGGGAAAAGCCCTTCAAGTAAGTACTTGAAGCCAGCAGCCTTTGCCAGCTGAGATTAGAGAGGAAAATATATTGCTGCTGTTCAGTAGCATCCCCAGCTCTCGGCAGAGGTTTTCTTGAAAGCCAAGACTACCAGATAAAACAGTTAGTGGTGAAGCTAAAATCAGAACTAAAAGAGATTTGGTTTTGGGTTCCTTGACAGCCCTGAACAATTTTCCATTCTCTGATGAGATCGTGATAGTTTTAATTAAGTGGCAAGCTGCTGCCTGAGAACCACAGCTGAAAATACAGTGAAGACTGGGACAGGTCATGCTGTAAGAACATTAATACGATTCTTAGATGTCTATAGGCTGAGGCAGATGGAACTTCAAGTTAAAGCTAATTTGACTCTGGTTAAATATGGGGGAGAAATGTGCATCTTCTTTTAGTCACAGAATCACTGCATAGAAAATGCAACTCTGACTTGAGACATAAGTTTTGTAAGATTGTAATAGTAAATTGATAGTTCTCAGCTTTCCAAGATGTATAAAAAACCCCTAACCTGATCAAGACAGTTTTTAATTAAACATACTTTGCCTATTTCTGCAGTTTATGCTTACTGAAATTTAAGCTAAGCACACACCTGAGTCTCAGAAATTTTGCCCCTATGCTCACCTCCATCTACAGCACAGTTGATACTGGCTTATTTTACCTTGTTGTGCAAGACTCTGCCTACCTGACAGGAAGTGTTCTCCAAGACAGAAGAAATAGTTCCCATATTTGTGTCTTTTTCTTTGCTAAATTGACAGACCCAGATTGTACATATATAGTACCTGGAACAATCCCACTTGGGAAGAAAAATAATATATTAATATCAACATATAATGTATTGATATTATTTCTTTTGGAACCTGCCTGAATGTTCCTAGGAAGAATGGGAATAAGTGTAGAAGAGGGTGTACAT